ATATATATATATATATATATATATATATATATATATATATATATATATATATATATGAAAAGAAAGTTTGTTCAAAGAAAGAAAAATACAAGAGGGGAGAGGGGAGGACGAAGCCAAAGTCCCGCTAGGAAAACAGAAGAGAACGAAATGCAAAACAAAACAAGACAAAAAAAAAAGAATTAAAGCGAAAGACCAGACTAATACAAGATAAATTTGATAGCATAACCCCAAAACTAACAAAGATTTCAACTTAAACCAATACAAAAAAGGGGCTATCTTTGTCATCAGGCACAAGGTATGCAAATATGCGGAAATCCTTGCCATCAGCCACTAACCCCATCCAATTTACTGCACCAATCATAGTGGACATTTTACATAGAAGAATCCCCCGGTTATGGCAACACTGAACCGTAAGAACTCTTTCCAGCAGATGCAAAACCAAAATCTGTAGAATAACCCTAAAATGACTGCAAAATCTGCTAAAGTCCTCAAAGTAGCCTTCAAATTGCCCTACGAAACATTAATCATTAAACTTTTATTACTTATGTCCTTGGCTTTACTTCGAGTTGTTATCGTGTAGTGAAAGGGTGCAATACACTCCTTAATCTTTCCTAATTTCTTGAACCAAACATATTCTTAATACGGAGTCTAAATTTTGATTTCTAATAATCCCTTTTTGACAGTGTTGATGTCTAGTTCGTCTGGGGGGGGACACGTCACGTGGTTGCAGTTCCCTTACACCTTTGAGGACTCACAGCGCTACTTTCCTTTATCATACTTTGACTATATACGAGTTCGGCGGTAATGAATGTTTTTTACATTCAAGAGTCAAGACTGATGTTGCATGAAAGTGTTGGTTGTTTGTGTTTGTTTTGCCGTAACTTTGATACATTGCAATTCTACTGTTTTTTTGGCAAAGTGAAGTTGTTTTGATGCCTTCGGTGGTTGATGGATATTGTCAATGTAGCTATTTGTTGGAAATGATTTTTTCCGTTGGAGGAGACAAAATGGTTGTTGTTTTATGAATTAAGATTAGTGATGTGGAGTTAGAATGTCATCGGAAGGGCGTTAGGCCAGTTAAATGGCTGCTTTTTTGGTGTGTTATACTTATCTGTAGGGATGTACAAAATCCGGATTAGACCTGAAAAACGGACCGGCCCGTAAAAACTGGTTCCAGACTAAACCGGTAAAATTTCGCACCGATCTGGGGTTTATAGATTAAGAACCGCCGGTCGGATAGTTTCTGGGTTGAACCGGTAAGATCGAAATGTAATTTTTTTAAATATCTATAATATGAAGTATATGTGATTATAAACCTACACAACTTTGTGTTTTTTATTTTTTTTCCTTCTTACTTTAGTACGGAGCATAATCTTTTAAATGTAATATGCCATAATATTTTAAACTTGTTTTTTTTAAAATCCCACAAACTAATGCAAGTAAAAAATAATTTCTTGAAACACGCCCAATGGATATAAAAAATAAGAGTAGAGTTAAAATCAATTCAAATCAAACTACGTTGTTGAAAAGAAAAATAAAATACCCCGTAGTAAAAAAAAATTTGGATTTTTTGGTTTTTGTCCTAGCTGAAATCTAAGAGATCTAGATTTAGGCCCTATACTTTAGGGGATCCTGGTTCTCTAATTTTTTCGCTTCTTGACTTGTGTTCACCCCTAGTTATTTGGGTGAAGCTTTTTTTAGTGTGATGGTCTTTTATATTTTAAAATCTCCCTTTTTAGTGTTGGTTGAAGTACATTAGTCACATTCCCTCATAAATTCCCTTTATTTCTAGTTGAAATAGCCTGGAGTGCGGTAGTAATCACGAACTCAAATTAATTTTGCAAATCGATCAATCAACTAGGTTGATGGAAAGGATGCTACAAAACTGTTCAAAGAACGAAACACTTGACAAAGAGAGTACTATAACAATTTTTTGTTACATGCACACTCAGAAGAAGATAATGGAGAGAGCGCTATAGCCCTTTCGGATAAAATGATGTAAATGAAAAGGCATAAAGAATGACATCATATATGTTTACATAGTCTGGAGAAATTCTCATACTTTGCGGGACCCACGTCCATACAATAGCCAACTCCTAAATCACAAGTTACATCGGTATCTAACAATATAATGAGATACACTTCTCCGAATTGTGATGAAAAAATTTGGGCTAATCTAGATTTTATAACACGTACTGTGAGCAACATTTGGCAAATTGCTAAAGCACAGTTGGAGGCTAGTGTACCCATTGATGTTGAACGCAATTGGAAAGGAAGTTGTAGTAGAAAAAAGGTCCATGTTGACATGGAAAGAATGGCGGCAATCCTTTTATCTAGATGCAAGAACATGCATGCACTTAGCTTTGCTATGGAGGTTTCAAAATCTACAGTCCAAAGATGGCTAAAGCGCAAGGAGATAAGGAGACATTCAAGTGCTATTAAGCCATATCTGTTTGAGTTGGGTAAGCGTAAAAGACTCAAATTCTGTTTTGACCATATGTCTCCTCAATCACTCCCCATGAACCCATCATTTCATGACTTTTATGATCACATTCATATTGCTGAAAAATGGTTTGTAATCACAAAAAAAACACAATATTCTATGCTCTGCCTGAGGAACCTGACCCCTACAGAACCACTTAAAACAAAAGCTTCATAGCAAAGATATGTTCCTGGTTCCCATTCACTTTTGAATAGGCAACTCAAAGGTTAAGTAAAAACATGCCTGCGGGGACTTTTGAACAGGCAGCTCAATGAGATCTAGTCAGTATTTAAAAAATATCACATCAGAATGCCTAGGCCTGCTAATGGGTTGAGTTCGGGACGGTCCATATTGTTATATATGTGCACTCAATTTTTAAATAATGATTCTGACACATAGTCGTTTACCCAATAAGTTTTGAAGTTTAATCCTAGATTTGGACCCGTTGAGTCTCGGTATTTGGTATGTTACATCCATAATAAAAATTGACGTCTTTTATTATTCTATAATTGAAAAACAGTGTGAAAATACTTTAAAAATACATAGAAAACGGATCTATACAAACCCATGCCTCATAAGAAACGCCTAATTCTTCGGTAAGGTGGGATTGGAAAATATACCCTACCAAACAGAACTCGAAAACGGATTCCCGCAGCTGGCCTGGAAAACGGATTCGCCGATCGGACATGGGGAAGAGAGACATAGTGACGCTGCAACCATCGCAGTATTCAAAGGTGGGCTTTGTCCAGAATCATCATCAATTAGGGCATCGCCCAACCAAATCCCAGGTATGACTCTCATCAGCAAAATTGAATAGGAGTAAATAGTTATTCCTTTTTTCTCCTCTTGTTGGCTATGTTGAGAATCACAGTATTTGATTTGTTTCACAACATGAAAATATATGAATTGTTTCATATATTTTCCTTGACGATAGTGGTTTGATTTAAATTCAGAGTAGAATATGATGTAACACTGGATTTTGTATGATTTCTCTTTAGCTTAACCACCCTTATTTCCAACCTATTACGAGATATGATATATGCTGAAAACCTCCATTTTTATGATGATATAGACAGTCCAGATCTGATATTGCTACATTAACCACCAACATTTGGGTGGCATCTTATTCGTCGTCAGTCTCTTTTTTTAATTTTTGCAGGAAAGTTTGCCCCTAGACCTACCCCCCGAGCAAAGACATTTGTTTGAGGCGCTGACCTCTAAAAAAAGAAAATTGTTCCAGGAGCTAAATTTGGATGATACCAATGATTCATCCACCAAAAAGGGAAAAATACTCTGCGAGCAGAATGTGGAAGCACAGGGTATGCAATTTCAACATGCCTTACACCATGGTAGTCAAGATCGCAATCTGACTCTTACGATACTACGAGTCTAGAGATCGCGAGCACCTCTCCGATCCAACTCGCCTTCAGAATCGCGAAAATCCATCAGGTTGGTCGGATCATCGATCCGGACCGTGCAATCACACAATTGCAGGAGATAGGCGATTGTGGAAAGCACAAAGACCAAAACGCATCGTCGCTGCAAATCCCAGTTCCAATCGCGTCTGTCGCGACTCCCAAAGACCAAAGCACCGTGTGTCGCGACTTTCAATCTCACGACTTCCAACTTTGAAGCAGACTTCCAAGTCTGACTAGCCCAAGTTTCCCGACTTCTATTTTGTCTCTTTTGAATGGGAAAAGCCCAAATTTTTGCGACTTCAATTTGTTGCTTTTGAAAAGCCCAAGCCCACCTTCAACTTGTGTTATGTTTTATTAAAGTTATACACACACACACACACACACGTATGTATGTATGTATAATATTATATATATATATATATATATATATATATATATATAGATTATATTAATATATGTATATAGTAGGATCTTAGGATCCGAATCACGATCTTACGATGCTACGATCTTCATAAGCCTATCAATCCTACGTAGAATCTAGAGTTTGACTACCATGCCTTACACTTTCACACGCACTAAAAAATTAACAATCCTTGCACGTTTTTGTGTATGCATTTACATGTCCATGCTGTTAATTCATTTAAGCACACACACACATACATTTTGTGGGTTCCTTGTAAAATTTATGCAATTGACGCTTCAAATGATTTCTTTTTGTGTTTGTGACACACTAATGTAGTTTGTTGGTTGGTGATCATGAAAATTGTCTAGGGTGGACTATTTTTAGGATGCTGATTCCTGCAAAGGATGATGCTGACATTAGAGGTTACAATATTCTCCTGAAGCCACTTTTCGAGAAGAACAGTGTCGTGGTTGATTTCCAGTTCTTATCTGGAGTTGGAATTGTAAGTAAAGCCTGAATTATATTTGACGACTTTCATGATTTTCTTATTGAATTTTTCATGATTGGGTGCTAGATTGGGAGGAAGGCAAAGCGGGGTTAGAGGCTGAGAGTTATAGGCTTTTAGGACTAGACACAACATTCTCTTCTTTCTCTTTTGCTTTGCCAGCATCAACGCAATTGATGTTCCCATTGGACACGGTTGTCTGTGGCAGAGCAGTCGGCATGGTCTTATGGCTGGAGAAGGTGCATTATCTTTTGCTAATTGTCGGGGCTGGATTTTCTGTCTTGAAGCTCATCATTCTCACCCCTTCTTTTCCATGTCATGATCTTCAGCTTTTTGTGTTTCCTCATTCCATTCTCATTTTCCTTTTGAGGTGTTTAATGTTTTTAATCCACTTCTGCATCGAAAGATTCCCACTCCAAACACAGTTTCACTGCATTTGAGGTGGTATGTTGGACGAACTTGTGAATGCTTCAACCTTTATATGTCACACAGACCTATGAATGCTCCATGCGATAATGTTACACAGAGAATCCCAATATATGATCATGGATTTGTATAAACTCAATTTTTTTAATGCTGGTATCATGGACATTAATTGTTGCTAGAGAAAGTAGAATGAACATTTTTCTGATTAGTGTTCAGGTTGTGTGCGATAGTATCTAAAATTGTTTGTGTGTACTGCATAGGTTATGGTCTCGGCGAAAAAGGACTCTAAGCACTCCACTGCTCATGCTATTGATGTTTTTGACGAGGTTCACAAATATTTTTTGAGCACCATGCCTTGTCAGGAGTGTTGGTTAACAAGACTGCTTGTACCGGCTGCACACGCAAAAAAGTTGATTATTTTCCACACTTTGAAGTCCTATCCATGCAATCTTAATATCTATCTAACTGGTGTGTAATAACGTGGTGTGGAATGTTCTCTATTAGTATGTTATTGTTAACTTTGCTACTCATTGTATTCATTCTCGGTTATCTTAATGGTTGTGATACTCTATGTAGATAACATGTCAGTTTTTTCCCCTGGTGGTGTGATTGTTGATATTGAAGGGGAGAGCGAGGATGTACGTGAGGCAGCTCTGTTAATTCTTTCTGATCTGAGAGAGTTTGGAATTGATGAGAAAATGTTGTTGGAGTTTAAAGCTGGAGTAAGATTGAATGCAAAGTTCTATGAATATTGGACTACATTCTCTTGCTTATAGCCATTCATGTTGTTTATTCACATGGATTTTGCACAGGATGGTATTCGTCCGTCATCTTACGAAATATCTTCTTCCGGATTTGCATATCTAGGGCTGAGGGCTCCTAGAAGGCGTGAGGTTAGTGCCCCTCACTTCCTGTAGAAATTGTTTTTTAGTTTGTCCCATTTGTTAATTAGTATATTAACAAAAAAAACCCAGTAAAGAAGTTACAAAAAGCAGGGTCTAGAGAGGTGTGAGTGTAGACCTTACCACTCTACTTAGATCTTTATTTAGTTTACTAAGAGGCAATTAATTCTTCAAGGACGTATTTTGAAATCCATTAAATATATACACGAAAAAAAACCTCAACAACTTGTTTGTGCTCTGTTATACACTTATACGGCAGTTCTCTCTTGCAATGTGTATAGTAGAATAATTCACGCTTTACTCGTTTTGCAGATTATACACTCAAGACGAATTCCCTTGTTGTATATCGACTATATCATGGGTAAAGACGGTGCAAATCTTGACAACATATTTAAATCAAGTCCAACCTCCGTTATCTTGAAAAAGTTCAGTCTTAAGGAGGTGCTTATTTATATTGTGGGCGAATCAGTCACTGAGGTTAAGGCTGCTGAGAAGGTGATGGAGGTACAATTATGTGTTTTATTATATTATTGGATCCACTTTGGGTTCTATTTTTTTACNATTATAGCCTTTAGCTAATTCTTGGCACATGAGGACATTATGTAGAAGCTCTCTGCCTTTAATAAAGGCAGCTTGGTTACCTGTGATTATTGACGGGAGGACCTCTTTGAGCCTATTGGCAACCATTTTTTAGATGGTCTTGTAAATAACATTGCAACAGGCAATGGGTTTGAAGTCCAGTGGGGATTCAGGGTTCTTTTTCTTGGCTATTACGGTGAGGCCGGTTGGTTGCATTGATCTGTTTCAGTGTTGTTCCTTCTTCAAAGAAACTCAGTACAGCTCCATTAACAAGATCACCCACTAAACCCCAGTTCTTTTTGAAAAAGCCACTTCTAAATCCATCCGGGCCCGGCCTTTTATGATTACGAATACTAAAGACAGTTCCCCTCACCAACTCTGGGTCAAATGATTGGATAGGTTTCACCTGCTGCTCAACATTAAGAATAATACACCTTTTAACAATAGTATCTTTGCCCCTAAAAGAGGTACCCACGAGGTTTTTGAAATTGTTCTCCCTTTCGATAGCCACCTCTTTTGAATTAACTGCAGTATTTCCCTTTCATTTGAATACTTGTGATATGTTTTTGTATTCTCTCTTCTTCTTTTTTTAAATCATGCATGGAAAATCTGATATTTTGGTCACCCTCTGTCACCCAATTGTGTTTAATCTGTTGTTTGTTAAGGAGGAACAGAGCTTTGGAATAAGGAAATTCTCTATGGACATTTCTTTCCTTCAAGAAATCCTCCTCAGTTTCGACAAAGACTTATTTGTGTATTTATTTATTTATTTGCAGGATTTGATTCCAGACAAAAAGAAAGGTGGGCTGCCTGTTTTTCAGCTCATGCTTTCCATGGACGTAGGCTTAGGTGGTGAGATTTCTTAACATAGTATTTACTTTGTGGGCATAAAACTAGTGTGTGGTGGGTGGGGGGAGGGGGTAGGCCTCAAAACTAATTTGATGTAATTTACTTCCTTTCTTGATGTATCACAATCTGCAATGTTGTGTTTGTTGAGATTCAATCGTCGCTTTTCTTCGGATTGCATTTTGATCTACTTCACATATACTTCGTCAAATATTTGTCGTTGGTTGCGAGGCCCGGTGTTTTACGGGCTGGATTTGGCCTGTACACCAAGAATGTAAGCCGGATTGAAGAATGTAAGCTTTTGTGTGTGTCTACACAGTACACACACATACACCATCTACTACCTCCGTCTCAAAGTATTCGTCCATTTTGACTTTTTCGAGTCCAACTAAATGAACTTTAAAGCTTAATTAATTAAAAACTACAATGTATATTTGTATTAAAATAATTTTATTATATTTAGTTTGTTTAGTTATTTCGTTATATTAATATGCAAAACAAAATGATAGTAATTAAAGATTAAAGTTTGTCCAGTGTGACTTGAAAAAGTCAAATTGGACAATACTCTGGGACGGAGGGAGTATGTTATACTACTTCCGTCCCACTCTCTTTGAGCACTTTTGACTTTTGGAATTGTTCATCTAAGTAGTTTGACTCATCAAATTCTCTCAAGATGTAAGCCTAAATATAGTCATGTGTGATCTTGTTTGATTATTAATATATAGTTTCTGTAATCTTTTAATATAATTTCTAATATATAATTTTTTAATATAATTTCTAATATATAATTTTTTAATATAATTTCTAATATATAATATAATTTTTAATATATAATTTCTATAAAATGAATTAAAGAAGTGCATTGGATGGTGTGCCAAAAGGTAAGTGGACAAAGAGAGTAGGACGGAGGGATTATGTGCGAAACATGCATTCATGTGGTGACACTCTAGCATGACCCAACAATAATTTACTTTATTTTAATTTGTATCCAAATCACTTCAAACCAAACCGCTAATTTATTTTCCATTGTATTTTTGATTTTAGGAAAAAATAGAACCGTCTAAATTGAACACACCACTAAAATGAGATAGACTCGAGGGCACACACCTAACCACTGCACAATAAACTAAAGGAGCAAACTTATACGGAGTATATATATAGAGCATTTCTTCTACGTCTATCTTATCCTTATGAAATAATTTTAAGAAAATGAGTGATTTTCGTACCAATACATAATTTTTATGTACATAAAATTGTAAGAGTCGGTGCATAAAATTTTAGGAGTGGAAGCCATGAGGGTGTTAATATTTCTGTCTTAGTGTATTTTTTCATTTAGACTTTTTTAAAACAAATTAGATGGATTTTAAGTCTCAATAAAAATAAATTGATGAAACTTTTAAAAATTTAATTTTATTGTATTAGTTTATAATACAAATTGAGAGTAATTAATCCGGAGTAGCTAAAATCAACTAATTTGATTAAAAAAAGTCAGTAATATGACCAAAAGAGTAATATGAACAGTCCCAAAAGTCAATAGTGGACAAACACTCAGGGACAGACCAAGTAGTTAGCTTCGCGTAGAATAGAAGCCCGGAAAGCTCTAATAAACCGGACACAAAAACTGAAATCATGTTATACTATACTATGCACTCCCTATTTGATACTCCCCCTCAAAATCTTAAAACCTAACTACTCCGTAATAATTAGTATTTCGATTTTTTGATAACTTTTATTTATTTATTCGTTTTAGTTGACTGTTTGATAAAATAAAGAAAAATTCACATGAATATTCCAAAAAGTTTGGATTTTACATTAATGCTTCAAAATTCGATAATTTACACCACTGCTCTCAGAAATTGCTTAATTTTATACTAATACTCTGGGTCACCAACTATGCGGAATATGTGGCACTTAAATGGAGATGGTAAATTATTAAATATATATTGGTAACTACAAAGTGATAAAAAAAATTAATGTTTTGGATAAAATAAAAAATTTTGAAGTAGATATTTCATAATCAAATTTATATTTGTTGGGAAGGTCTTTGAAATAAAAATTACGCACTATATAAACTTTAAAATTATTCTAGATGATTTTTCGTTTTTTAAATTTTTTTGAAATTTTAATTTAAAATTTTAAAATTACTTTCTACCTTCATTATTTCTATTTTTTTAAAGATTACTTTAACTTTCATTTTGTTGCATAACACAAATCATTCCGTTAACGGGCTCTTTAACAACTTATTGGCCGCGTAAAGTTGAGAGCTCAATTTTCACTAATTTTCATCCTTTCCATTCTCCACATGCTATATATATACATCCATGCGCCACACGCCTCGGACACATACTCCAACTACCTACCGAAAAAAATGGCAGCTTCTCTCTCCGTCGGCACTATGCTGAGTAGCACATCCTTCCCGGCGGCGGCGGAAATGAGCCGGAGCTCGGTCTCTCTCGTCGGAAAGGAGCAACCGGGGATCAACAAGCCGTCCTCCGTCGCGTACGGCGGCGCCGGAAGGCCGAGCCGCCTGATCGCCGCCGCGACCTACAAGGTGACGCTGGTGACTCCGAAGGGGAAGGAAGGTTGATCAAGTGCCCGAAGAACGAGTACATCCTGGATGCGGCGGAGGAACAGGGACTGGATCTGCCTTACACGTGCCGCGCCGGAGCTTGCTCCACCTGCGTCGGAAAGATCGTCTCCGGCAAGGTTGACCAGTCCGTCGGGACCTACCTCGACAGCGCTGAGATCAAGAAAGGATTCGTCCTCACCTGTATGGATCGTCTCCGGCAAGGTTGACCAGTCCGTCAGACTCACAAGGAACATGAACTCCCTTAATTTCTTTTACTCGGGGTAATTTGGTCAAATAATTATTGTTCAACTTAATTTTTCAATAATTGGTTTTCTTTCTTGTGTTTGTGTCTATACAATAATATTATTACAATAATACCAATATTGATACTGCTAGATTACTAGTAGTATCAACTTTAGTTGTACAATCTTTGTGTATATGTCTTTCGAAAAATGGCCAATTTGCTTGTTTAGATTCGGTTGAAATCTTTGTGTCTGAAGAGTGTCTTAATTCTCTGTTTCACCAATTTAAAGTTGACACCTAACCCACCTCCCCCTCATTTAACACACACTAACCTTAGTTACGAGTAGGTTATGGGAGTATATTTACATGGGTGCGGTGCGACTTTAAATTGATAGGACATGAAGCTAGGACATAAATTTATGTGTGTTTAGATTCAATTATTTGAGATTACGGTTTCATTTGATTTGAGTTTTTGGAAGTAAAACATTCCCAAAACCCAAAAATACGTTACATTCAATTCGAGGTATAATAACAATAATCAAGTAAAAATAATATCAAATAACATTATCAAATGTCAAAATGGTGCAAACTGTCAATGATTTTCTTCGTTTTATACTCCCTCCGTCAATGATTTTCTTCGTTTTATACTCCCTCCGTCCCTCGTTACGGAGTAAAATTTCCTACTTTTTAAAATCATTTTATTTAAAAATTGGTATATCAATAAGATATAAAAATTACATATTAAAAAACTAGGTCAAAAGTTTTACAAAACAAGAGGTGACAAGAATATTTTATTTTATCAAATACTTAATGAAATCGCGTAAACAAACAAAAGTTATCGAGAGGAGAGAGAAAAAAATTGCAATCTATTTAGGGACGGAGGGAGTAATAAAGTTGACACTTGTTTTAAGGATGTCTCAAAATGTTTTGTAATTTCTAGTGAGATCATCGAAACTCTCGCTAGATCATTCATTATCAAAGATTTACAAGTAAAACCGAAGTATATTTTTAGAGAAATCATGAAAGTCATAACAAGTGGAGAGTTAGTTTTTTAAGTCTTAATTTTATTTGAAATTTAAATTTCGATAATTAGAATATGAACTCTGAAACTTGAAGTGAGGAGTTGATAACTATCCTACACTTTAAACTCATGAGTCTAACAATTAGAATTGCAATAGTAATTTAACTCAAATCATGATATTGAATTTTGAAGTTTGATAGCCGAAATTTAAAGTCTGAAATTATTGATTAAGTGTCAAAAATAAATATGTGAAATGAGCATAGTTACTACAAGTATTAAATATGAGAAAATATAAACTGTATGTTAAAAAGAAAAATATAATAATATGAAAGAAAAATTATTGATTGAATAAAATAAATAATGTGAATTTAGGAAAAAAATAGTTTTAATTTTGATTTTTTTTCCCTTCACCGTACCAGACGCTATATATCCATCCATACGCACTCAACAGCCACACGCCTCACACACACCACACACTCTCCAACAAACCAATCTTTCCCAACCCGAAAAAAATGGCTTCTCTCTCCGGCGCTATGGTGACCACATCCTTCCTCTCAATGAAACCGGCGGCGGCGGCGGCGGAAAGCACCCGGAGCGCGGTCTCTCTCGTCAGGAGGGAGCAATCGGGGATCAACAAGCTGTCCTCCGCGGCGCACGGCGGCGCCGGCAGGCTGAACCGCCTGATCTGCCTGTCCGCCGCCCCTCACAAGGTGAAGCTGGTGACTCCGGGCGGGACGAAGGAGATCAGCTGTCCGAGTGACCAGTACATCCTGGATGTGGCGGAGGAAGCAGGTATGGATCTTCCCTACTCGTGCCGCGCCGGAGCGTGCTCCTCCTGCCTCGGAAAGCTCGTCTCCGGCACGGTGGACCAGTCGGACGGGAGCTTCCTCGACGACGATCAGATCGGGGACGGTTATGTCCTCACCTGTGTTGCTTACCCTACGTCTGACTGTGTCATTGAGACTCACAAGGAAGATGAACTCTAAACTTCCAATCCTTCCTTTGATCGAATTATTGTTCTGTGAAATCTCTCAATTGATCTTCTTCTCTTTTCGTGTATCATCCTTCTTTCAATGAAGGCCAACTTGTTTGTTTTAGATCCAATTATTTGAGATTATGGTGTTATTTGATCTGCGTTTTTGAAAGTTGAATCTCTGTCGATTGTCAAGTATGGTTCCAATAACAGCTTTTGGAGGTTAGAGTTACTTGTATAGTTTTAAAAAATTAAGGTTAATTTAAGGCTTCAAAATTAATTTATATCATTAAAATTTTATATTTATTGATTTTTTCCCGGATTAATTCGTCTTTATTTAAAAAAGGAACACATGGAGTTATTATTAAGGCATGTTCTCATTTTTGGAACTAGAAACACTCGTGATGATATGAAAATAATTCCAAGCAATAATTTATTTTTAAGAGCAATTCACAAATAGAATGGTCATAAATTTTATAAATTTATTATGTATGGTTTAAATTCTCATAAATAGTAAATTTATGAAATTGTGACCATTGTGTTTGTGTTCTAGTAAAACTAGTATACTACTAAGAAATAAAATAAATATTCCGTATATACAAAGTGATCCTTCACTATTGGTATTTCAAGTTTCAAAAGTTCATAAATAGTTCTTTAACATTATGAGTAATGCATGATTACTCTTTCAAATTTCATAAGTCCATAAATAATCCTTCAAGTACACGTCAGCCTTACAGATGATGTCCTTTTGACGATAAACGTTAAAAGCTAAATAAATTACTAGCTTCATATAATACGGAGTTGTCGTACCTAGTGCAAAGTACTCGTATTATATGGAACTAGTATTTCATTTAGTGCTTAATGTTTACTGTCAAAATGAATTCATCTGGAGGGCTGACATGTACTTGAAGTATTACCTATGAACTTTTGAAACTTGAGAACAAATCGTGCACAAACTCATAAAGTTAAAGGACTATTCATAGACTTTTGAAATTTGAAAGACCAATCGTGCATAACTCATAAAATTGAAGGATCAATGGTGGATTTTAGCCATTAAAAAATAAATTTCACATATTAAAAAAGTACATAACAAAATCTTCAAAATAAAATGTGGGAAGAATGTTTTATTTTATTAAATAATCAATGAAAATTATAAACAAAGAAAAGTTTTAGTAATTTCTCAAAACTAAAGTGTGGAATAACTTGAATGATTTTTTTAATGAGGAATGTTAAAATTACACCAACAAGGTTAAAGTTATAGCATTCACAATGGCAAGTAAAAAATAAAATGACACACGATGACATGGAAAGTTTCAACCAATAAAAAATAGTCCAGTCAGCGTGTGGCATGAGAGTGGAGTGGCATGTCATGCAGTGACAAGTCATTGTTTTTATCAATTTTACTTTTTTTACACATTTTAATTATTTAAATTTATTTTATTTATATTTTTTTCAAATAAAAAATAAAAATGTTTCAAAATTATTTAAATTATTTAAATTTATTTTATTTGTATTTTTATAAACTATACTCTTTTTAAAAATATTTCTTATTTAAAAAATAAAAGAATTAAATTTTTTTCAAATTTTACATTTTTACATATTTCTGATTTTTACTAGAGTATTAAAAATAAATTAATTAGATTTTTTCCAAAAAAATACTTTGATTCTACTTTTTAAAAATCATTTATTTTATGGGTGAAAAAAAAAGAAGAAAACAGGGGATGATTGCCTCGCTCGTGACTTGCCAAGCATGGCAAATAGTAGCAGAGTCGCAAGACATTTTAGTGGCAAGGCTTATGTGGCAGGCGTGGCAGTGGCACAGCCAGGCCACTGCCAGTGCTCTTATACCAAAACATTATTACACGAGTGGTGACACTTATTCAATTGAAGCACTTAGAGTGTTTCATTAGTGAAATTGACGTTTCCTAGTTTCTACCCTCTAAGGCTCTAACTTATCCTCTAAATCCTCTACCCCAGTTTTCCCTCCATGCACCCACCCGGCCCCCAATCTTACCCACTCTCTTATTCCTCAAATTGGGAATGAGGTGCAGAGAGGAAGAGTGGAGTAAGGTTTAGGGGCTGAGTTAAGGGATATAAAGTGTCAAGATGTCTTAATTGAATTGGTACCACTTCAGTTTTAGTTGATGTAACTCTAACCTCTCCTTTAAAAAAAAACAGCGAAGAGGAAAATAAATAAAACTGTGGAGGACAGGAATGAACGTATGGTGAGTGGTGACTGGGAAGCGCTCTTGGCATGGCAAATTTCCCGCCAATCCTGGTCTCTTGCGGTCAATGCTCTTCCTCTCTCTCTCGCCTTCCCATTCCCTCAGCCTTCAGCTTATCGCATTTTCCAGGTAAGCATCCTACGCTCAATCAACGAAGAAATTGTATGAATTTATCTCTTATAGTTTTGTGTTTTCAATTTCGTCGTTTAGATGATGGTAATTAAATATGTTCGTAATCTGTGTATCGTGACGTGCAAATCTGAGAATTTATCGCACTTTCAATTATTTGATGTGCGAAATCAGAAGCTTTTCGAATGAAATTATCTGTTTCCAGGGTATGAATGTGCACAGATTTGTATATGGTGCAGCTATATTACCATAGTTCCGATGTTTTTGTGAATATGCAGAAGAATAATGCATTGATTTTTTTGATTGAAGAATGACTAGATTACAGTTCTCAGGGTCCCGAAATTCGATATTTGTAATTGAGGTTTTTTTTAATGGGGAAATTAGAACGGTTCGAATTGATTTTGTCTTTCTTTGTGAGGGCATTGCACAAATTTGTATATGATGTGGGGTGGCTATATTACTATAATTCTGAATGTGTAATTCACATGTGGGATTCGGTATGAAAGCCCACTAAACTGAAGCGAACAATTCAATCTTGGTAAGTCTCAACATTCAACAATGAGCACATGAATTCCATGATTGGTCTGCTTCAATGACCCATGATCTGTGTGGCATGCTAAGCTCTAACGAACCAGCCTATTATAAAGATACTCTGTATAAAACAGCATATAAGGAGCTTGACTATTATTGCTCATCAAGTTGACCTTTTAGTATGGAACCATAAGTCTTAATGGAGATTAGTTATTTCATGAATTTGATATTCAATGGATTGGGGTGGATGCCATTTCCATTTGCCTATTACCAATCCCAATTATTTGCATTTTCTCTATAATACCTTAATATATGTTGCAACTGAGGGAACTGCTGTATGTAAGAAAAATTGGTAATACATGAAAGTGACGACGGTGGACAAATGGGAATAGCAATAACAGATTGCTTAATTAGAACCATAAATTTTATGATTCTGAAACCCACATAGTTGAGTGTTGATAAGATGGAATTCTATTTGAAGAGGATTGAATGTGTGTGTGTGTTGTTATTCTACCTATGTGAATTTATAACCGATCTTCAAATGATACAGGATTTTTTGGACCAGAATCACAAGACTGAAATTTCAAGGTGTTCTCAAAGATTTGGATTCAAGCTGAATGGCTCATCATTGCAAGTAATCTGAAGAAATAGAACCACCATTAATGGTTCCTTTTGAACATATGTCATGGTGCTTGTTCTATACAGCTATGGCATACACTTGAACTGAACATCTTTTTGGGCCTCAAAGAAGAGATTCTACATATTGCGGAATTACTATTTGTTTGTTTTATCCAAGAGACACACTATAAGTAATGGAAATTCAACAGGCGCCACCTCAGCTATCCCGAGTTGGGGGTTTGCAAAAACAAACAAGTGCGCCTCCTTTGGAGCATGGCTTTGGTTTATTGGGATCTATGCTTTTACATGGAGAGTTAGACTTATGGATTATGGAAGCCAAATCCCTACCAAACATGGATCAAGTAAAAGGTTTAGCCCAATTCAATGATCGTGACACCAGTGATCCATACGTATCAGTATGCGTGTCCGGAGCAAGTATAGCTCGAACAGCTGTGATCCGAAATTGTGAAAACCCTTCATGGGATGAGCATTTTCGGGTGCCCATAGCTCATTCAGTCGAGAAAGTGGAGTTTCATGTAAAGGACAATGACGGTTTAGGGGCAGAAATGATTGGCTCCGTGGATATACCCGTAGATGATATCCTTGATGGGAATGAAGTAAATGGTTGGTTCCCCATCCTTGGATCTTCGGGCTCTCCCGTGAAAGCTGGAGCTGAATTGCATCTCTCTATTCATTATAGGCCCGTTGCTACCAATCTTATATATAAAGATGGTATTGGTGTTTTGAGAGACTCTATTGGAGTGCCAAACACTTATTTCCCAATGAGGAGAGGGGGGAGTGTTACTCTTTATCAGGATGCTCATGTGCCTGATTCAATGCTTCCTGAAATTTCACTTGATGATGGAAATGTTTTCAAGCAAAACAAGTGTTGGGAAGACATATGCCACGCCATCATGGAGGCAAAGCATTTAGTTTATATTGTTGGATGGTCTGTGTACCACCGGGTGAAGCTTGTCAGGGAACCTACTAGGACATTGCCTTCTCCAGGGGAAATGTGTCTTGGAGATTTGCTCAAGTACAAGTCACAGGAAGGAGTTCGTGTTATTTTGCTCATTTGGGATGACAAAACATCAAATGATGACTTTCTTCTAAAAACAGTAATGTGTCTCCTAATAGAACGGAACTATTTCTAAATGTCTGTTTCTTTTATTATAGTTAAGAATCTCACGTTGAAAGATTTAAAATGGATTGATAGCTTTATAAATCTTGGGTTAGATTATTTGGTCAATTGAATTCAATCTTTAACTCACATTCTTTAACTCCTTGCAGAATGGAACTATTTCTAAATGTCTGATTTTTTATTAATGGTAGGATTAAACTGCTTGTTCACCAAAAATATGTAAACCAAGTCTACACCACTTAGTTTTTTGTACTTCATAGACACAACTCCTTCGCTGCACAAGCAATAATTGTTTGTGTACGACACAACTCATTTGTGGCACAAACAATACTTGTCTGTGTACGACAGGCAAGTTTTCTCAGTAAAATGCAAAAAATAGAGTGTTGTAAAGTTGGCCTATATTTTTTTGTATACACCAACCATGATCCTTAATGTTCAGAATCTCACATTGAATGATTTAAAATGGATTGATGGGTTTATAAAATATTGGGTTAGACTAGTTGGTCGATTGGATTCAATCTTTAACTCGCATTATGACCCCTTGAGTGATCTCAGTGGCGGCTCAGTCTAATTATATATTCCATTAATTCATTACTCGTAAAGCATCCCCCCCCCCTTGATTTACCCTGTGAAAGGCGTGTTGGATTCTGGATGCACATGGTGGAAAACCATGGTTATCTTGAGATTGAATTGTTACTTTATATGCAGGAAGGAGTTATGCAAACACATGATGAAAAAACAAGAAAGTTTTTCAAGCACTCGAGCGTTCATTGTGTGCTTTGTCCTCGATCTCCCAGCAATAAACTCAGCATTTTCAAACAAAAGGCGGGTGGCTTTCTATATATGTGCTCTATATGGTCTTGGCTTACCATTCAATCGCATTTGGAATTATTTGAATCCAACAAATCAGTGCTTTTTTAGGAAGAAAAGTACTTTTTAAAAAGATGTGATTAGCTAGAAAATGGAAAATGTGCTTTAAATTCTTAAAAAAAATAACTTTTTGGGATTGTTTGAGGAAGCTTGGCATTGGAGATTCTTGAAAAAGAACACTGTTAGTGATTAAGTGAGAATGAACTTATAAATGCATTTAAAGCATAAGTCTTCAAACAGGCTGTAATCTTGTTAAATTGAAATAGGATTTCATTTCATTGTTCTAAGAAGAGATCAAATCCCGGACCAGCCTGGCGTTTTTTTTCTTTCAATAATGCCTACATTCACTGTTATTGAAACAATCATCATCTACCACAGGTTGTTGGAAACCTTTTTACCCATCATCAGAAGTGTGTTCTTGTTGACACTGAGGCTCCTGATTATTGTAGAAAAATTACAGCCTTTATTGGTGGCCTGGATTTGTGTGATGGCAGATATGACACCCCTGAGCATCGTATTCTTACTGATCTCGACACTATCTTTGAAAATGATATTCACAACCCTACATTTTCAGTGAGTATTTATTTATTTCTTATTAGGCATACAATTTCTGTTGTCTTTGGCTCCGTTTTGTAGGCTTATGTGTCTTTTTCAGTTATTCTTCTTATAAAGAGAACAAATGCAATAAGTAGCTTTGACATAGAGGATTCATGCATTTCAGCCAAACCCCATGGCCAAACAGTCTCTTAATGGAATTGTTACCTGAGACATGTGCAGGATTCCGTGTCTGGCCCAAGACAACCATGGCATGATCTACACTGTAAAATTGAGGGTCCTGCTGCATATGATGTACTGACTAACTTTGAACAAAGATATAGAAAATCCGCAAGACGAATGTATTTAAATATGAAAAAGATTAGGCATCGGAGTGCAGATGCTTTGCTGAATGTGAGACTAATTCCTTACATTAATCTCCCTTCTGCGGGCCCCGATGGCCAACATTGTGTACATGTAACTAGTGAAGATGATCCAGATAACTGGCATGTGCAGGTTACCAAACACTAATGATATCCTTCCAGTAAAAGATTGTTATGAGATTTGAAAAAATGATTGTTTGAATCAGGTAAATACTATTTACGTTCTTCTCAGGTGTTTAGATCAATTGATTCTGGATCTGTCAAGGGATTTCCAAAGGATGTTAAGGAAGCTGAGGCCCAGGTAAAAACTAAGCTCAATTATGACCAGTAATTTTATGTGTTGTAATTAGATTCAAATCTTTGTAGGCACTAGATACAGACCACGCACACAGACTATGCATTAATTGGTTAATACTCTGTAAAAAGTAGGGTTGGAGGTGCTTTGTTTCTGAAGTTGCCGAAGATGATCATTTTAGCCTTTTTTTTCATATACTATTTTTCTTTGTTAAGACTGCAAACATTTTAACACTCAGACCCCAATGAAATTGGGGATTATACTGGGTTTGCTGTTGCAATCATATAATTCAGCAATTTCAACAACTTTGTCAATACCAATCCGTCACAATTTCAGAAATTTCCACCTCATTCACCCTTACCGAACAGCCTCTTAGAAAATGATATTGAGATGGGTGCATTTTTATCCTTTCAACTTTTTGTGGCAGAATCTTGTCTGTGGAAAGGCTTTGCGAATAGATAGAAGCATACACATTGCATATGTGAATGCAATAAGATTTGCTCAACGCTTTGTTTACATAGAGAATCAGTATTTTATTGGCTCTTCGTATAACTGGTCCTCACACAGATATGCAGGTAAACTGTTTCAACTTAAAAGTCATTGTCTTTCTCGTTGTGAGTTGTGCCTGGTCATGTTTGGCAACCAGTTGTTGTTGGTTAGTTGTCCCAGCTCTGTTTGGGCAGTTGAACAAAAACACTTTAAAAAAAAACTTTTGTAAGACAAAGAAGCTCTTTATTGAACACTTCTAATAGCTGTCATCTAGCTTAAAAGCATTTTTCACAACAAAAATAAAACCCCAAAAAATTCCTTACCAAATTTTATGTGTGTGAGTGCATGTGTCAAAGGGATATTCAATATTCATGTGTAACGTTAGAATGATGGGCTGGCAGACGTGCATATGCAATTCGTGATGTTTCAAAATGCATTCATTTTGTAGGTGCTAACAATCTAGTGCCTATGGAAATAGCTTTGAATATTGCCAGTAAAATAGCAGCATATGAGGATTTTGCTGTGTATATTGTGATTCCAATGTGGCCTGAAGGCATCACTACCAGTTCTGCAGTCCAGGAAATTCTCTTTTGGCAGGTAGAATCATGGTTGCACAATACTCCCATTAAGGCGCCTTCCCCTTAAAGTTCTTAAATTTCAAAATAAATCATACCCACTAAGGGGTGGTTTATCCAGACCTTAACCCTACTTTGGCTACTTAGAAAAGATAGACTGGTTTGAAAGACCCTTGGGCCTTGACTCAAGCACAAAAGGCATGGGTTGATACCCTTCGACAAGTAAAGGCAAATAACTCCAGGTAAACATAAAAAAGAGACCAGCAAACAAACACCCCACTAAACCTAGTTAATCTAGAAGGCCCTGAATAAGCAGAGAAGCATTCCTATCTAGACCTACCTAACAACTTTAGTCCTCGGCCTCCAACGCTCAAATTAACAATAAGAGTTCTAATTAGTGAGAGTACACTTTTTTTTACAATTCTGGCAAGTCATGAAATCCTTATTACTCCCTCCGTCCCCAAATAAACTTCCTTTTTTGACTTTTTGAGGATTTAAGGGAGGGATATTTTTGTGTTGACTTTCCAAAAATACCCTTGATGTGATGTGTAAAAGTAAGATGTGATATGTAGATTATTAGAAAAAAGGTATGATGTGATAGGTAGGGTAAGAAAAAGTAAGAGGTAAAAGGGGTTTTTTAAGGAAAAAGAGAAGTTTATTTGGGGACAAAGAAAAACGAAAGGGGAAGTTTATTTGGGGACTGAGGGAGTATATTTTAAAACTTTTATATTTGAGGTGAACTAAATTTATCATATTGAACTTATTTCTAACTTTTTTTTTTGGAAAATTACATGAGATATTAGCTCCAGTTTAAATGAAATAGTGCTCTCTTTTTAGGACATGGAAAAAAAGTTTTGATGTAGGACTATTTGTTGGGATGGAGGGACTGATTATTCTGACTTATGTGTAGTTTATCAATAAAATTCTCAAAAAGCTTAGAGCATTAACCATTAAAATGCTGGATAGGGGCCTTAAAAGGGCCTAGGTGGCTAGAACCTAAAGAAGGTTGGTTTTTTAATTTAAGCAACACTGGCTAGTGACTGTAGTAGATGTGTAACAACAGTTGAGCTCGTAGTTCCTCTGTAATTTATAATTTTATCCTCACAATTATATTTTCTCTGTCCATTTTAATCTCATAGTCTTTGAGTACAAATTCAAATTATTATTCTTAAGTATTTAACATAAACAAAATTTTGTCATTTTGGATTGAAAAAATTTTGCAGCACCAAACAATGTCTATGATGTATAAAATCGTGGCACGGGCTCTTGAAAGTGCGGGCCTCTCTGAACGCCATCCTCAAGACTACTTGAACTTTTATTGCCTTGGTAAGCGAGAACCTGCTGCCCCAGGAAGTGACAATGAACCTAGTACACCTCCACATGACCGTGCATTGGTAAGCAATTTCTCCACACACAATAAGAGTGGATAAAGCTCATCTTAATTTAAAAGAATCTAGATTATTAAAATACCTGTTTGATATTATAATAACAATAATACTTCCATCCCAACAAAAAAGTTGTTTTTAATGTTGAAATCTGTGTTACAAACAAGTGGACAACTTTTTCTTTTGGGAAAACCAAACACAAGAAAATAACTTAACGAGCTTCTTTCCTTTCCCTAGAATTTTTTGCAACCCAAGCATACCATACATGAATGATTTAGCATTTTTGATTTGACAGAGATTAGGGCTCTACACATGTCTAAGTCATTAGTTACACCTGAATCCCGTCTTATGTTCTATCTATTTTATGCAGAGATTATCTCAAAAGTTCCGCAGATTTATGATCTATGTACATTCCAAAGGTATGATAGTTGATGATGAATATATCTTAATGGGTTCTGCAAATATCAACCAGAGATCTTTGAGTGGATCCAGAGACACAGAAATTGCTATGGGAGCTTATCAACCACATAAAACGTGGGCCACCAAGAAAAGCCTTCCACAAGGCCAGGTCTGAAATTTCAATCCCATCTCTTGTATTTGACTTCTTCATCTTTTTCATGCATTTGTGAGGCGCAATCTGGACAGAGTTGTCCCAACCTTAATGTTACCCTCTATTTTTATGCAATGAAAATTTCTCCAGTTCTCTTACCTATGACACTAATCCTTGAAGTTAAACCACTCATTTGATTTCACTTGACTATCTCTAATGTCGAAAACAGTAAACCATGCATAAGAGCATAGTAAAAGATTAATTACAATCGATTAACTAGTTTAAACTCAAGAGTTTATAAACCCATGGATCTCTCCTAAAAAAACCACACTATAATTAGCTAGTCTTAGCCTCAATGCTTTATAAACAATTTTATCCCCCTTCTTTCAATGCGGGGTTTGTAACATTCTTTCTCAAGGGGAAAACCAAACCTTTTTTTCTAATCCAACCGGTTTGTCATTTTCCACTGGTCCACGAAAAGTTGGTCTCTCGTTCTACCTCTCTCAAGCGGTGCAACCCCTAAACACGGCCTGCTAGCCCAGTCAAATGAACTTTCTTTCTCCCACAATGTGTGCTTCATGTCTCTATGCTCTTACTTTGTCTCTGCTATTGTGATTACTTTGTGGTCCTTCTGTGTTTCAGTCAATGGGTATCCTCGAATAGGGGTAAGGTCTACGTATACCCAACCCTCCCCAGACCTTACTGTTGTGGGATTTTGATGGGTTTGTTGTTGTCTAACTCAAGACCTTACAAATATCTATTCATCTCTGATTCTCTTCACTCTTCAACCTCTCAATATGGGATGTATAACAACAAAGACTGATGCATACATGTATGCATGCAGGTCTATGGCTACAGAATGTCTCTGTGGGCCGAGCATCTAGGAGAGCTGGAGGCTTGCTTTCAAAAGCCACAGAGCATCAAATGTGTCCGGCGCGTGAACGAGATCGCCAGATACAACTGGAAAGCCTTTGTGGCAGATGAGTACCAAGATATGAGGGGGCATCTGATGCCATATCCGGTTCAGGTAAGCCGGTCCGGAGAGGTCACCTCTCTGCCCGGTTTTGAATGCTTCCCTGACGTCGGGGGAAGCATTCTCGGATCCTCCACTAATCTCCCAGATGCTCTCACTACATAGAGCACTTGAGGCTTGTAGAGACATTTGGAAATGATGGAAAATCACTCAATGGAAAGGGCTAGGAAATGTTCCTTCTTGCAGTTTTGTCAATATTTTAGGCTTTGTATATGATTCTTTTTTTTTGTAGATTGTAATATACAAATATACTAATTAGCAGATCTCACTCGCGTAACAGTGACATATTTATTCATTTTTTTTTGGGTAAACTGTAAATAGTGCCGAGTATTAGTAACCCAAGTGTAAACTTTTACAATTATATTTGGCTAATGCTAAATTCATCTCACAGTTGGTAACGTTCACTCTTGTTTGTGTGAAACAAAAAACTCTACCCTTAATGCTTGATATGGAAAAAGAAGGAAGTGATGGGGCAAAGGTGTTTATTTCTTTTAATATAATGATTCCATGGCCACTATAAATGGAGTAATTTCGTCAATGAGTTTCTTTTTTGTGTAGCTCATTGGGTTCACTAGAGTTATTTTTTCCAATTAACTTATTTGAAAATTGGGCTGAAATTAAAACATTAAATTTATATTTTAAAATTATATAAATAATTTTATGAAACAAAATATGACATTATTATATTATTTTATCAAAAAACAATAAAAAAAGTAAAGAAAATGAATAAAAAATTCTTTCATCACAAATTGAAATGTACATTTTTTATTCATAGAGTCAAATTTTATTCACTTTTCTTATTTATGTTACTCATTTGAAAAAATAATAATGATATCATCTCTTGTTCCGTAGAACTTTTGATATACTTCATAATTTTTTACTTCTTTCGTCTCAATTTAAATCATCTGTTTCAATTTATGATGTTGTAGTACAAAACTAGTGATGACATGATTATTATTTTTATCAAATGACTAACAAAAATAGAGAAAGAAAACTAATGAAATTTGACTCAGTAAATAGTAAACAAAAAATTTAATTTGGGGAAGAGGTAGTATGTAAATTTTATTTTTTTAAATTTTGCTACAACTTTCAAATAAATTGTACTCTATTTAAAATAACATCAATCAAGCATCGTAAAATGATGTTAGTCAAAGTATATTTAATGTCTAGCACAAGCAAAATACATCACCAGAATCATGAAATGTTTAAGGTACGGAAAAATCAAGTTTGAGAGAGAATCTTCATCCCCCCTCAACGTCGTCTTTACAACATTCACATCTCACATTTCATTTTCCTAGAGACTAAACATAGAAAAAAGCAGAAGAAATCAAAGAAATAAATACACCAAGATAACACAACATTCCAAAATTCCAACACAGATTTCACATTTAGCCATAGGTAATTCTTTTACATCTCTATTTTTATCCCTTTTACAACAGCATTAAATTGTCGGGATCCGCCTACAAACCTGCAGCAATTAGACAGGATTATATGAACTATGAAGTGATCAAGAGCAAGCACAGACTAGGATACACACTTTAATAGTGTAATAGCGAAGCAAAAAAATGGACCCAGAACTTTTTTCCCGTGAGTGTGGAGTCATTCTTATGTCACGAGGTTTGTTTAAGTCCGGAGTCTTGAGTGGTTAGTGGTTCAAGAGAACAAGTCGTGTATAGGCCTATTTAAGTTTAGAGGGACTTAATCGGTAAACTTTGTGTGAAATTCAATATTTTGACGAGTGTGAGCAGCTTAGGGAGCGAAGAAAAGAAACAGTTGCAACAAGAACTTGCCATAGAAGTGCGAAATGCCATGAAATGTTTATAGGAAAAGAGTAATGCTTGACGTTACGCAAATTGAAGACACTCCATCACACATAAGCAGGAAAGAATTTGCAATCAGTGTTCTGAATAACCAACCTCACAAGTCACAGCCACCTTTAAGTCTTTTACCTCAGCAGGGTCAAGCAAATTGCAAGACTCCACGGACTTGTAGGCGCTTGAGGAAAGGGGGAAAAGGAGGCTAAAGTTGATTTACACGATAGAAACAAGAGGCAATGTAGGAGAGGGCAACATGAGAAGGAAAAAAATAGATCATAGAGTGTTTAAAGTTAGCTTTTATATCTGGAGTATATGAGTGTTTATGAACAATTATATCAATTGAGTAAAGAGAAGTGAGATGGTGTAAAGTATGATAAAGGGATCTTGGTAAGCTCAAACTATTGTCTTTATTATGAAAAGAAACATGAAGATCATTTCGGGATGGAGCAAAGAGCAGAACATGAAGATTAATTCAGGACAGAGGAGCAACAAAATGAATATTGAAGAAAACTTATATGGAGATTAGCTATAGTGTTAGCCTAGCTCAGATGCCATTCTACTCATTAGGACTGGAGTATATTCCAGGAGATATGTTTGATAGGGTTCCCAGTGGACAGGATATATTCAAGAACATTAACCACCATTGCTCATTAAATCACCTAGTAACAACTTGGAAGTGTAGGAAAGTGACTTAGAAAAATAACCACAAAATTAAAGGCATCTTTGTCTCTTTTACCTTAGACTTTGAAACTCAGTTCTGAAATGTGAAGTGGATACTATACGATTGGGATGAAAAAGTGGTATTAGTTGAGTGCACCATCCTGCACACAAATATCTGAGGCTGGTACCATATGCAAGGATGAAAATGTAATTAACTTGTAAACATGACGAGAATGGAATAGCAAATGGTGATTTTGAAGCCATGGAAAAAGTAGCCAAATTTGCTCTCCAGGAAGTCATATGCCCTGTGTATAGTGAATGAGTTATTGAAATGCACAAGTGCAAAATGGCCACATTCTAGTGCCTCGTAATAAATTATCAAGCTATTCTAATAATAGTTAGGAATGTATGGTTTGCAAACAAAGATTTTCTGATCTCTGGGTAAGCTCCCCCCCCCCCAAAAACCAACCAACCACCACCACCCAAAAATGTCACCTCATGTGCAGTTATGAAGTAAACATTGGGTGAACTGTAGATAGATATTCAAGATAGTGCATGCTTGGTTGAAATGTAATGAAAAAATGGGTCATTTATTGCAATTCAAGATATGGTAAATGAATCAAAAGAGAATGGATAACAGAACATTCACCTTAATTTAAGGTGCTGAAAGCGGGATAGGCTTCACTGCACTTGTGATACGCCTAAACGCCGTTTTAACCCGTTCCTTGAGACTAGCATTTTCACTTTCAACGTCACCAGTTTGTCTGTCAAGTTCTGCTGTGTCCCCGTCAACATTTATAACAAGCTTTCCATCCTCCCTAATTTTAACATCACCGAACAGAGACACCAATAGTGTGTGAATAATTTTCTCCGTTTTCTTCACATCTTCCTCCACATTTACGTCAGGTTCCGATTCCACAAGCAATTTAGGCATTTCCTTGTTTGCATTTAGAACCAAAGCAACAACAGAGTCTGACACCATATCACTAATAGGATCTGCTGTCCAATGCACGGAAATATGATTCTCAGACTCCTGTTTAAGTACAACTCTATCATGAACCCGAAGTGTAGGAACTCCAGAATCCTCGTCAGTTGATGATTCCACACTCTCATATACTTGCCTGATCCTATGTCTGATCACAGCAAATGCACCAGAATATGGGATAGTAATTCTTTGATGTACATTTGCAGTCAAAAGTTGGGAGAAAATGTGGAGATCTTCAGGTGCCATGATTTGGTATGTGAAGCCTTTTTTCACAAGTAACCCACTGACAGTTTCACCGACATCGGGAGTTCTTTCTGCCAATTTTCCAATTGTTTTTGCCATCTTATCAGAGCTAAAGTACATTTCCACAGATTGGCAGTTCTTGGGGGTAATAATCTTGGTGTTTTGGTCAGTGAATAGGGTAGTGAGCTTCTGCTTAAGCCTTCCCATCTCATTAGCTTCTCCATGAACAAGAATTATATTAGGTGACCTTAGCTCTTGCAAGAATGTACTTGTCTGGATATAGTCTGCATGAGCTGAGAATGAAATATAATGAACCTGCATGTTGAGAGGAGCAGACAGTCCATTTGTAAGTGTCACCTCTTTTGGTTCATTTATAATTGTCTTTGCAAGTGTCCCTTCTACCACATAGCCGGGAATAACACATGCATTTCTCTTGTCAGAACACCACTTGTCAAAGAGCTGCCTTGACAACCCACTCTGAAGACTACCAGGACTTGCCATCACCACACAAGGGCCCGTATCCTGAAAACCCTCAATACTATTCAAAGGAGAAATGTGCTTGAAATCAAAAGGGTTTGAGCTTACAAACTGATTGCGAATCCTATCGTTCATGGAATTTATATAGGTTTGATAAACAGCCATACATCGTTTTGCAAGAGGTGACGCATAGTATATGGGGATCTTATGGAGCTCTTGATGGCTAGACCAATACTCATCCAATATAAGGAGAAGTTCTTGAGCCCGACCCAAAGCAAAAGCAGGGATTAGTACACGACCCCCTTGGTTGAGAGTTGAGTGTATGACATCAGTAAAACGTTTTTCTCGAATATGCCTGGGTTGGTGTTGTTGAACGCCGTACGTTGATTCAATAATACAAATATCTGGACAGCACTCAGGGAGCTCTGCAGCACGAAGATGTCTATCTTCTTCACGAGAGTAGTCTCCGGTATAAAGAACTCGAACTCCGGCAATGCTAACCATAAACATGGCTGCACCAAGAACATGACCAGCAGTGTAGCACCAAAAACGGATACCATTTACTTCCATTGTCTGATGGAAGTCAATCACCTGCATGATATTGAGAAAGAAAAAAGTTGCAATCTTTACGATTAAGTATATGAACTGCCGGTAGATACGTCTCGTTAAATATCTCTATTCTGATAGTTATCCTTACATGTTGGTTTGTAATTTTGACATGATGTGTTATGCAAGTATAGAATCTAGAAGATGAAAAATAATGACCCAAAGGACCCAACATATATATTTTAAGGCCTTGTTCGGGAACAACTTAATTAGCGTTAGTATTTTGGATAAATTTGTATAGATTAACATAGAAATCACGAAAGCTAAACGCTACCATTAGATAGCCTTTCCAAAATGCTAAACTTGTTTCCAAATGGGACCTAAGCATCC